CTTAAGGCAGTTGACACGGGCATCAGAACTGGATTCTTGTAGAAGTCGGGCTGGCATTAAGGATAGGAGAAGCGGGGCAGCGCCTACTCCAGAGAGAAGATAATGGTGGCGAAAAAGCAATTTCACAACTGCTAAGCATTCATCCTTAACCCACAATGATTGTTTTCTGCTAAAATTGATGATGATATTATTCGGTGGCAGCAGATGGCAAGCTGTGCTCTCTGCTTGCAGGATACAGGTCAAATTTGGTGGTTTAGAAGTTCCTAGATTAGCTCGTGTGTGGGTTCAAGTGCAGTTGGCTGCTGGTCGTCCACGATACTGCAAATTGTAGTGGCAAGAACTCAGGGGTGGTCACAATCTGGAAAGAGACTTGAGGGTCCTGATGGACCATGAGATAAATATGAGTCAGCAATGCAATGCCGTGGCCGGCAGAGCAAACCAAACTCTGGCATGCATCCTCTGATGCATCTCAAGCAAAACCAGGGAAATCATCCTCCCGCTTTACTTGGCCATGGTGAGGCCGCAGCTGGAGTATTGCATCCAGTTTTGGGCCTCTCATTTCAGGAGGGACATGGAAAAGCTTGAGAGGAGAGCCACTCGTATGATCCAAGGCCTGGATGAGGAGAGGCTGCGGGACCTGGGGCTCTTCAGTCTGGAGAAGAGAAGGCTCAGGGGACTTGGTGGCAGCCTACAATTATATAAGAGGGGTACATCAGGACCTGGAGGAACAGCTGTTCACCAGGGCTCCCCAAGGGATAACAAGGCCCAACGGCCGCAAACTCCAGGAAGGCCGATTTAGACTGGATATAAGAAAAAAGTTCTTTATGGTGCAAGTGTCCAGGGCCTGGCACAAACTCCCCCCAGAGGTGGTGCAAACACCTGCTCTGGACTCCTTCAAAAAACATCTGGATATTTTTCTTGCTGGGATCACTTGATCCCAGCTGACTTCCTGCGTATGGCCGGGGGGGTAGACTCGATGGTCTCCCGAGGTCTCTTCCAGCCCCAAATGTCTATGAATCTCTCGTGGAAACAGAAACTCTTTCTGGACTGAATATTGCAGAAGAAAAGCTGAAGGAGAATCTAGTAATGCAGGCAAGTCGAGCACTTTTAAAATGTCCGAATTAAACTTTTGCTCCCAGCTTGCACATCGGACTCTCGTGGTTGTGAATGTTCATCAAACCAGAACATCAGTGTTTTTCCTATTGAAAAACCTTAACAGAGGAAGTTTTTTTTTGGGGGGGGGGGGGGGGGGGGGCGAGAACATGAAGAACGTGTCAGAAGTAAGGCAGCTCCGTCTGTAGGTGGGCTATGTCCGAGGAATGGCAACTTTCCGGGAAGACAGAGGAGTCTACCAAGGAGAAACCTCTGAATATTGATGCTCTGAATATTCCTGTCAACCGGGCAGTAATAAATGCAGAGGGTTTTTTAGCTTTTGAATTCTAGGCCAGTCCAAACAAACTGTAAAGATTTTCCTTCGGATAGTCATGGAAGAAAAATGTCAGCCATCCTTTTTTTTTTTATGCTAACTTTCCAGTGGAGAACAGGTACAATGATGCTGGCTCCTCTTTTCCATTTTAGCTGATCGTTTCTGCTGCAAGTTAACTCCAGAAATGTTGCTTTAGTCCAGAAGGATATTCAAGAGTGGAAAAACATATCAAGTGCCCTTTCAAAAATTATAATCAGCAGATCATATGACCCGCTCTCATAGGGAGAACACTTTGAAATTAGACTGAAGCAAGATGGTAACATTGATTTAAAGAGAACCAGCACCAAATTAATTCTCCAATACAACACTGGCAAGCTGTTTTGAAAAGGCCTTTTGATTTGAACAAGCTGTGTGGAATTAAAAACATTCTCATATTAGGGTCAATGGACAGGAGTTATTCATCCTACAGTGGGGAAGTTTTTAAAATTAATGTATTTTCTTAAGAAATATTAAAAGAACATCTCTGACGCAACTTGGAGGACATTCATGGCTGTTATCTAGCCAAAAATATTCAGTTTTGGGAATGTGATTAAGAGGGCAAACCTCTCTGCTCTGAAGGCTACTAAGTATCATTTTGTTATAAGTGACTCACCAGGGACACGGACAAGAGATGATGATTTAGGTTCTGTTTCTGCAGAACAAACAGCTCCTGCAAGCAAAGGCAGAATTATACTTAAACCAAAAAAAGTAATTGGATTTTTGAATGTGATGAAGTCTGTTGGTGCTGTAATAACAGCAACTTCCCTCGAGCAATTCAAAGCAATGGGCATTTGCATTGCACGGCTTGAAGCTCAAGGCCATGACCAGGCGTAACTATAACTGTAACTATAAAAGGTAAATGCAACCGAGTTCAGAAGAGAATTCAGAGCCTTAACAAGGTTGTTTTTTCCTTTTGTCTTGTGAAGCACTCAATGTTTGATTCTCATATTTAGCGAGTTTATACATCTTTGTGACATTACCACAGTCCTGGGATTTAAGGAGCCAGTATGTGATGAACTGGTCTCCAAAGCTCTTTCTAAAGAAGTGGGATGGTAAAGAAAGAGAAGCATGCCATCTGCTTCATTTCAGTACTAAGTGCCAGACGTCTATGATGGTTTGGTTTCAAAGCCCAGGGATTCAGAACTAAAAGTATATGAAGGAAACAAAACTTGGACAGGAGAAACTGCTCTCACATAAACTCTGCAACTAGATACTCATTTGCAGCGTGGTGTTTTGCCATGATCCTTTATGTCATGAATGTAATGTTGCAAGTCAAATGTTTCGGGAAGTTGTAGGGTTTATTCAATGTCCGCTGTATCAGTGAAAAGTCTCAAAGGATTTGCTTGGAAACTATCCTTCTGATAAAGGATTCACAAGTACATTGACTGTTGGTTTTTGTTGGGTTTTTTTGGGTGGGGAGGGGGGTTAAGGGACTAACTGATGAGTCTGAAACTAAAGCTAGCATCCCACGGGAAAAACAGTTTAGATTATATAAACCAGAAAGAGAATGATTATTAGGCTTGACATGAACAGTTAACTAATTCAGAAAAGAACTGGAAAGCCTGATATGCTTTGGATATTGTCATACTGTCACCCAAGGAAAGTTGTTTTTTTTTTACAACTAAAAGTACATAAACTGGGGTTTTTTGTATATCCCCAGAGCATCAACTGTGCCCCTCAGAGACTTAAATACAATGCTTTGCTGTTGCAAGGAATTAGACGATGGAAAGCCTGGTGAAGAGACTTCCTTTGGCACAAGTGACCTGGATCTTTTGCAATGAACTTTAAGCTCTTGGCAAGTGGCTGAAACCTGGAGCAAGCCCAGAAGCATCACCGGAGTTTCCTTGCAAAAATAAGCTTTCAGCCTCGCTTCCAAAAGTATCCATCACGCTCAAGATTTTATTAACCTTGCCTGCCCGTGTCCTGAGTGGAGAATGCAGTTTTTCAGCACTTAAGCTAAAAAGACTGGTTTGCTATCTACAACGGCTCGGTCTTGGTTGGTGGGTCTTCCTTTAATTGATAGCCAGCGGCAGACAGCACTGATCAGAAAGAAGGCATCCATGAATTCGGTTGTATTTTATGAAGGGAAATGAAACCCATTAAATAGCTGATAGTTTATGGGGGTGAAAGGGAGAGGGGGAGCTTTTAAAAGACTAGTTGGATGCTGTGATCTTCCCCACTTCCTCCCCACCAAGTGCTTCATTTGGGTTCATGCTTGCATTATCATCTGTGAAAAAGAAAGCTGAATCTAACACTCTTCGTATTTCGTTGCAGAATTGGAAAATGCTTTTTGGGAGGAGAGGGGCCAGAAATACTTCTGTCTGCCCCGAGAAACAGTCGAATGTCAGCGGAGGGCGGGCGTCCTGCTCCTCTCCGGGTCTTAGACGTATCGCTCCGATGAAGGTGCTTTCTTTTGGACGGGGATCACAAACCTCCATCCAGGCACCTACCCCGGCCAAACTTTGCCGAGCGCAGCCGCGGAGGGCGTCGAGAAGCCGGCCAACAGACGAACATAAGGCGGCGCTGCCTAAGCTAACCCAGGAGAAGCGCGTCTCCTAACCATCGTTGGGTATCCAGGTTGTGGCCGTATCGTTGTAGAGCAATCGGGACTCGTAGTCGAGGTCCTGGCTGGGGGCACTTGAGCCCAGCGCTCCTTCCTGCCCAGGGCAGGGGGTCGGACTCAGTGATCCACTAGGTCCCTTCCAACCCTAGAAATCAATGATCTCCCTCATCAGACCAACTAGAGGAGATTTCCCCACACCTTCAACTCTCCCCTGAAGTACGAACTTTCATGTCTACCCAGGAGACCGTGGACCATCTTTTCTCCTATGCCTGAAGGACGGTGCTTGGGCCTGAAAGCTTGCAATGAAAGAGATCTTTGTTGTTGCAAAAATCTAGTTGGTTTAGTACAGATCTCCTCTACCGCCAGTCCTGGTGCCTTCTAGCCATTGCCTTCAGGTTTTCCATCGGGGAGCGGGGGTCCCTTCTCGCCCACCCCAACTGCTGGCGGTGCTGGAGGTGGCCCCACGGGCCAGCGGGGTTGCACAAGAGCGCCCCAGGAGCTGCTGTAGCAGAGGAGGCGTCGAGGGGGGACACAGCCCTGACCCCTAGCCGCCTTCGGGCCTGGGTTCGAGTGTCGCTGCCCTGCTTGGGGCTTGGGCTCGTGGGTGCCTGAAGGAACCCGTCTGGGACCCAGAGGGCAGCCAGCTGCGCCCTCTCCATGTGCACCCCTTACAGAGGTGGTGGGGGAAAATGAGTGGGGCGGGGACGTGACACAGCTGCGGGCTGCCCGGGCGGGGCCAGGCGGGAGGCCCCGCCCCCTCCCGCCTCCCGGGGCGGGGAGCTGGGCGCTGACGTCACTGGCAGCCGCGGCGGCACATGGACGGGCTTGTGGTGTGAGCCGCC